CCGTCAGTTAGTAGGGCAGTTTAAGATTGCGCAGAAAATCGGCGTAGCTTCTCCCTATGTTGCCAAGACACATTGCATTCACATGCAGAATATTTTAGTTTGACAAAATTGGTCGAGCCAGTGGTGTGGAATTATGTGGAAAACCTGGATGACCAGTTGTTGCCTGAATTCTGGCAACGCTTGTCCTCAATGTTTCCATATGTTTGGGGGGCTTCTGCCTACAAAGTTAAGTTTCTCTTTTTTTATGCATTTTTGTATTTGTGCAGGTACTAATTAGATTCTTGTATGTCTCTTTGTTACGGTTTTCAACCAGGTGATCCGGCGTGCTAAGGCGTTGAAATTTTTGGTCTCATTTCGGCCATAGGCGAGTTCAGGATCCTGGTATCACTCTTCTGCTTTCATTGATCTTGAGCTCAGATTTCAAGTAAATGAGAATTTTAATTTGCATACATTCTTTAAAGTAAAATTCATGCATCATGGCGTTTGTGTTCGCAAATGTGAGCCGCTGAGACGGTCATTCATATGAAGTAAGCAACTAAGCCGACTAAATTTTCAGCCACGTGTTTGTTGCGTACTTGAGAGAAGTGGGTCAGGAACGATGTTTTCAGTGTTAGCAGAGTATTTCCAACCTGAATGCATGTGAGATTAAATTTGTGCAGAGAACATATGCGTGCATCAGTTTCCTGGTGTACTGTTAGTGAGCATTTTACTTCATTAATAGGTTTTGGATCTACATAAACCCGTGCATTATTGGACTGTGCGTTAAAATATGTTTATTTCAGGTGCTGATGGCCCTGACCAGTATGCCTCAAACGTGCCGCATTATTTAAATAACCACGTAAGCTGGCTTAAACAGATGAGTGAGCATCATTCAAAATTTAAGCAGTTTCGTGGAATAATTGTTACTGGTTGGCAGAGGTTAGTCACGGTTTTATTGATTTTGTTTGACCTTTTTGCGATAGAAGTTACGCAGTAGCCATTTGTGGTTTCTCCAGTAATCGGCTTCGTAATAATACGCGAAAATTTTTTTTTTTATGGCGGATAAAGCTGCCTAGGTAGCGCATACAGAGACAACTCTGCTATGAGATTGTTCAAATAGAAGGGCTCAGGCATACTTGTTTATTGTCCATCAAAAACTTTGACACAGACAAAGTTGGAAATTTCTGTGCAGTGACTTATTTGGCCGAGAAAAGACATTCCATCTTTCGTTTCACTGTTGTTTCCATTCCACTCAGCGTTC